ATAATGAGTGTTATGTGTAGCCTACATCTTTAAGACCACAACCCCTTTATCTCCACCAACACCATGGCTCAGTTTCATAAACTTCACATTAGTAAGAGTAGCTGCAGGCTGCACTTTGTTGGTTAGATGTTGGAGTAGCCTTTACATGTATATGTAAGTTATTCAGTTTAATTGGCAACATCACCTACACATACCATGTCAATGCAGTTTTAAAAAAGAACATTGACTGAAAACATTGACTAATGAGACTGTTTATTAAGAAACCTTCAAAGATGAAGGAGAAATACATACAGTATGTTGACAGACCCTTTACGTCTCCTCTCTAATTGGATGAAATGAATTAGTGACCTGCTTTGATGTTAACACATGGGGACAGAGACTCATAAACGTATAACTGAGAATACCCTGTATCATTGGCGTGCTCTTTCATTATTTTTCTTTCTTTCTTTCATGTGTTGTCAAGCTCTACATTAGTTTTTGTTCATTCAAGCCAGACAGGGGCAGTGAATGAAATGGGAGAGCATAGAGAAAAGAAAGATCAGCTGGAAGGACCTATGGGGTATGGAAGCAAGCAGGATTAGCTTCCTGCTTAGAGCAACCTATGACGTCCTTCCCTCACCCAAAACACCTACAGCAGTGGCTGGACGAAGATCCATCCTGCCCACTATGCTCAACTCCAGCTCCCTCAGGCACATCCTCACTGGTTGTAAAATAAGTCTCTCCCAAGGTAGGTATACGTGGAGACACAACCAGGTCCTCAAATGCCTTCAACACATTGTTTAATTCAGTCTAGTGGAGGTTTAAAGGTCCAGTGTGTAAGATTTAGGTGAAAGGGATCTATTCCCTGACATTGTATGTAAAATAATCCTTGTGATGTTTTCACATTATTTTTAATACTAAGACAAGAAGATGATGGGACATCACCCATTAAATAAAAACTGTGACTCTATAAACATAAATCAAATCTTGAATATATAAAATATGGATAGAAAGGTTAAAGGGGATGTTTCGTGCTTTCTTGTTTTAAAGTTGATTATATCGTTTTTTTACGTTTTGCAAAGTTAGAAAATCCAAAGCCTGTGCTACAGGGAAAACACTGAAGCTGGAATTTTTTTGCAATTACCCAAATCGCTTCTTCTACAATAGTACTATTCTAAATGAGTGCTGTATTAAATTAGAGCTAAATATACAAACAGATTGTGTTCATTAATCTCCTGTATATCTGATAGTTTTGGGAAGCTGAAATAATATTTATATACTGAAGAGATGACACAGATATTTTGTACTTGCTCGTCTCAGATCTCTGTTTGCACAGATTGTAGCTGTATTTTTCCCCATGATAATATAAATCGTTGTGGGCTCCCCACAGCTATAACTTCCTTGTTTTGCGGACAAACCACAAAACCCTCAACATGTAATGTGTCATCAACCATCTATAATAAACCTTTTAAACAACGGTGTTTAAATGTCTCAGTGGAGATCCAGCTGTCACAGTTAAACATATAAAACACTGACTCCTTTATGTTACACGCATTATGTAAACGCACTATTATGTCACTGAAACATATTAATATCAATATCATCATCATCATTATCATCATCATCATCCAATGTTGATTTAAAGGATGTGTCATGAAACTATAAGTAATGATGAATAGGCTAAATTAAATAATAATCTGTCTACTCAAATATTTGTTTTTACAGCCAAACACATAAAACTTTTTAAATTCCTGTGAGACTGAATGATCCCCTCTTTGTTTTCAGCTGTCTCAATGACATGTTTCTTACTGATGTCACTGCTGCTTTTAGCCGAGTAGAGATGCTTCACGTCGAGGCCACAACAACGCGGCACTTGCTCAGACTTGTCGGCAGGTCTTAGAACAGCCCGAGGAGCAGATCATGAACGACTGCACGGAGCAGGGATTGGGTGTCACAAAAGGTGACTCAAAGAGAGGCTGCTTCAGGTAAAGAAAATCCCTGTCACTTAGTGCAGACGTTACTTAATCTTCACACGCCCAGATTCAAGACGCAGCTGAACAATGGTAAAGATATCTTGTTCTTCACACGTCTTTTCATAGGAAGAACCGGGGAACTACCAGAAGTGTTACGGTATGGATGAATGAGCACAGTCTGTACATTACCATCACGCACACTGTAAAATAGTATCATGACTGCTTCAACAGTTTCCTGTTAATTTTCTTAAGATTCATTTGGAAGACAGGCTTCTATATTTGCTATTGCAATAACATCACATAAAAAATACTACTTTTGATTTAATCACTCAGTTTCACAATTATGATGTTCTGGCAATGAAGATTTCATCTCCTGACTCACAATCATATACATACGAGACAAAAGAATGGACAAGAAAAGAAAAAGGTACTTCACATATATTGTTGACATTCAAATTAACTTCATAGACAAATTTGACTGCTGATGAAAAAAGAAAAACAGAAGTGTACGGCAGAAACAGATTCAGGTTACTCTATAATTCATTAATAACCTTTATGAATGTGGACAAGGCTATTTCTCTCATCTCTCCAGAGTCATTGTCTTCACTGATCAAGTGCACCCTGAAGCTTAAGTTCTTTAGATGAGAACATAATTTTTACTCTTTTGGATTGTAAATGCGAAGCTACCAGCTAGGTTAGCATAGCATAAAGGGTGTTAACAGTCTTTGTCTGTTGTTTTAAGCTGATAAAATCAGCTTCTGTAGCAGTAGCTGTAGCCGTAGTGTATAGATATACTATACTGTTTGGTAAAAAAGACAAAAATCATCTTTCCCAACTTTCTCAAGATGTCAAACTGTTTTTTCCTTGAAGCAACATGATGTAACTCTTGCTGAACCACAGCGCCCTCCGCAGCCACGCGATGTGATTAATTCTGTTGATTTTCATGTAGAGAAAAAACAAAGCTCTGACTGCATAGTCTCACTTACTGAACTGAAACACAACTAAACTCTGTTTAGAATTTGTCATATTTTAAATTTCCTCACTGGATATTGGAAATAAAGGCTTTTTAAATTATTTAAATTTAGTCTTTTTATGTAATCTACAGTTCAGAAATACTTTTAAACTTGCTGATTCTGACAATTTAAGCTGCAACTGTCAGTCAGTAGGCTATACGCACTTACAGGAAATCTTACTCACTCAGTTACACAGTGCAAGAGTTGGTGTTAAGGGTCAGAAGTGGTAATGAAAGAGAACCATTCTCCCGATTCCAAGTCAGGGTACTAAAAAACAAATTTTCAAGCTGCTGCTTTAGGGTTACTTACTGGTTTCTCAAAACAGCAACTTAGGGAAGGAAAACTGTTTCATTTCCAGGTGTAGAGTGATGTATTTGTGTTACAGCCAGTGGAGGCACAGGTTCACTTCACTTCGCCAAATGTTGTTTAGAGCCTCTGGATACTTGACATGCATTTCTGAACAGACCTGAGAAATGCCATAGGGCTGATTGAAGAGATTTAGTGAAGATGGACGATATCCAAGACTCAAAAGTTTCTCCACCACTGTGGGGTTAAAACATTCCCTCTGTTATGATGCTGCCTCACAGGGATTGTTTGTGTCGGATTAACACTTCTGAAGCAGGAACATTTGACTCTGAAAACTCAGCTACATATATATATATAGTAACACATGATATCTTCAGGATATTCACATCTATGCTTGCAGCAGCTCTGCTTTCAATATCAATCTGGTTCAAATAAAGCATTGTTCTACCTTTAGAGCTACAGGTAAATATTTTTTTCTCATACTCAGAATAAAAAGCACTGAAAAGCCAAGGTCCATTGATGAGATTTGAATTGTGCTACGGCAGAAAGAATAGCAGCCTTTAAAAAGGAGGGCAAACATTCATAACAGTGCACGCAGAAGTGTGATGAATTTGTACAGTCTGAGCATGAGGAGTGCAAATGTTTGCCATATGCATATATACTTTCGAACAGAAGACCCTCAAACATACTGTATGTGCTGCAAACACTGTGACACCTGAGAAACAGACTTCAATAAGTCTTGGGTGTTTTTAGTTAAATTGGTTTTGTGCCTTCATGGGAAGCTGCAAATTAGAATCATAGGACCATAGAATCAGGACCATACAAAAAGATTGGAAGACGTGTCCCCACTTCCTCCGGTTGTTCAAACGTTTGGCTAAAATATTTTGTATATGGGTTGAGTCATATTGAGCTTTTGACGCAATTTTCGAGTCAGAGTCTGAACAGTAGTGATCGAGGCGTGGAGCCACAGTATATCAATTTTGTGTGTAATTATGTAAAAGCCATTGAAAAACGCAAACTGATGATGTTGATGCAACAAATGATCCTGTTTGTGTTTCTAGCTGGTTTAGTTCTGGTAAGGTGACTTTAGTTGACGCAGAATTTCCTCCTGAGAAACAGATGTTACATAATGAGCCAGTTACTCAAAGAGTCAGTCAGAACTCACCAGAAGAATGCCAGATGTCACCAACATGAGCACATGACTGCACAAGTTACATTCAGACCTTTGACTAATACAGCTGCGTCCCTGTCACAGTTATTTGAATTGTTCCGTCTTGATATTTCAGGCACATGTGAGATAAAATGGAGAGATCCTTGGCTTATTAAAGTTTATTTGGATCAGTGGACTTCCTTTCTTTGTGGAACTTCTGCTAACACAAGTGCTTTGATTAAAATGGCCACATACACCTCTTTTTTCCTATGATACAATTTGTGAAGAAAGAAAAGTAGGTGTGTGAACACTAATGTAAAATTTTGCATTATTATCTCGGTTGGTGTTAACACAGCACTGAACAGAAAAGTTTGATGAGGCCTGGTGCCTTTAACCCTGGAGTGTTCATCAAAGCCAGTTTATGTCTGTCACTATCTTGATTTTTCCATCGGTGTGAACCTTGTCCCTGGGCAGGGAGGGGGAGTGGCTCCAAGTCTCAAACAGGTTTATGGCTGCCTGTGAGCTAGTTTCATTTGCATGTCAAAACTGGAATCCACACCCTCCACCTGCAGACTGCTTATCATGCCGAGACACCTCCTTGTCTTTGTCTCTTCCAGCTGGCACACAATAGCTTCTCTGAATACTGAGGACTGGGTGAACGTACATAAAGTCTAAGAGGGATATTCGGAGGAAAAAAACAAGAGGATTTTCACAAAGTTCAGAATCTACATGTAAGTTGCTGTTGTTCAGTAAAAATTAATGGCGTTGTTAGTTGCTCACGGTGCATTTGAAGCCTCAGAGAGAAGCAGCAGCTCTGTAGGAAAACAACAAAAAAGCGGTTTGAAATGAATTCTCTGAACAGCAGGAAGTTTGTGATGAGATGTGTAAATAAATGTGCTGTTTGTGGAAGGTTATGGTGTACGACGCAGGTTATGATTACTAAGATGACGCGAAACATTAAAAAACATTTACCTGTTTTAATGATACATAAATATAGCCTACTTCACTAAAAGCTGTTCAGTGTTTCTTTTACAGTTTTCTTTTACAAGTACATCCAGAACTCTAAGTATGTTTGACACCTCAGAGATGAATTTATGTTAAGTGTTAGGCTCTTAGCAGTGAAAGAAACATTTTATGCATAATAGCATGAAAGAAACTCTCCTGAAAAAAAAGATTCACACACTCTCTCATCATCAAAGACCTCAAAAATCCCAGTTCCCTTGTTTCAACACCTGTTAGTGTCTAACTGCCAGGGACGCTCTGCTTTATTCAGCAAGTATTAAGAGATGTAACATCTCTTCATTATACTTGGATGAGGGTATTTTATTGAAAATAAGTGAAATAAAATATCGAAACAAGTTCTTTCCCCCTATAAGGTTTTCAACTGTCATTAGACTATATACTGTACATATTCAGTGACAGATTCAATTAGGGGCGTTCAGGCTACATTTTACCTGTCTTTTTTGGAGTGAGTGCATGTTTTGAAAGTTTAACTAAACTCCCACTTTATTCCATAGTAATGCAGTTACTGAAATACAAGCTGTGTAGTCGTTCACTAACATCACATTTATTTTTACTGGTTTTATTTTACCCCATTTCAACTCAACCACCATTTAATCACGTGCTAATTGGGAAGCAGTTCCGGAGAAACTTTAAATTAATTTGTTCACGTCTGTGCCATTTATCACCCCCATTCAGAGTTAATCACAATCAACACATTAAGAGCATTGTCAATATGCAGGCTCACAGATATTGAGACATGAGACACTGGTTCATTAAAGTCAGCCTTTTATTAACTTATCTTTACTCTCTGTAATGTCTGTTTCAAAGAAACAGTTAGTTGGCTGATATTTTTGGGCATATACTTTAATTACCCTTTTGTTTAATCTGGATCTAGTGGTTATCATTTGGTATACTTGGTCTTCAAATACCTGTTAGTCATTTGGAAAGTGAATCTGGTTTGCTTTGTTTAGATAAGGATCACAATTGACCAATAACGATTGGGGTCATTTGAACATTGCTCAGAGCCATGTGTGTCTGGAGTGGGCTGTTTGTTTGGCCTGTGGTGATGCTGGTCACAGCTTTCTATCTGAAACTGAAAAAGTCATCTGCACTAATTCAGCTGTGGAAAGAAAAGACTGCTGGATCTTGAACCCTGAAGCCACAGAAGCAGCACAAAGAGCTATTCAACTCTTTATTCAAAGTTCTGTGAAACTCGACCAGAACTGTCTTTGCTGTCAGCATGAACGTGCACTTTGTCAAGAACGCACTTATATTCTTTTCAACAATGCCACTTACATTGATAAGTACGAGCCACTGAGTGTCTCAAAACACTGGTTGCCTGTTTATTCAAACTATTAATATTGAATGTACCGTGTGTCTATACACAACCAAATTTGACACTGAACTTCATCAGGCCTTTAGCAATTCACATGAAGTGCGAAGCTGATGAGATGAAAAGATATGCGTTCCACAGAAAGGGATTTCCGCAACTACTTACGGACACTAGAAATCTTTTATTAATTGCAGTATTAAGAATACCTTAGGCAATAACTATGCAAATGCGTGAACACAGTACCATGAAAACCGAAAGTCTTGAAAGTTATGTTACCCTACTATTATACTATAGACTTTTCCATGTACTAAGCTTAAAGATGAATACTTTTACTTAATCTTGGTATTACACTATATGACATTATATGTGCTACAATATGGTTTAACATCATTACCTTCCCATGCGGCTTGATGATATTGTCATGTATGACGTTACCGTTTACTTTGATTAATTTAGCTTTAAAAAATCCAGTCTTTAGGCCTTTTCCACTCTGATATAGTGTTTGATGTTTTTAAATCATGTCACTGGTTTCTATTTTCCATGACAGGTCTGCTGAAACAGTCTGGAGCAATGGAGGCTCCAGAATTTTCCATGCTGTCATCCTTGAGGGGAGAGTTTAAAGCAGAGGATTATATCCACCCCCACTACAAAGAGTCATATCGCCTGGCGATTGATCGCCTGGTGAGTGATGGCAGAGACAGTTACCAGGAGTTTCTCAAGGGAGAGCGTATCGGGAGCTTCCTGTCGGAGGATGAGCTCAGTTTTATCACGTCAAATGCAGAACAGCTTCCACCTCAAAAACACACGGAGGAAATCAATGAGCCATCGGACAGCCAATCATCATCAGGGACTTACTGGCCACTCCACTCGGATGTGGACACGCCGGATTTGGATTTAGGGTGGCCGGAGGTCATTCATGAAAAACTGCAGACAAATATTGATCTGCTCTTTCATCCACCAAGACAAAACAACCCCAGTATCAAAGACATGATCCGTAAGCAGCTTCAGGATGCAAGACAGGTAATCAACAATGTTCTGACATGCAGATGCACACAAACACATGCACATGCGTACACAAACATGTGTCTCCATGACTTTGGAGGACATTATTGTCTTACATTGATTTCCTAGAGACCTCCCCTTACCTATGTTACAACTTGCCTTACCCTAACCTTATCTTAAAACATCTCCTTCCATGATCTTTACCGGGGGTGCATGCAAACTCCAGACCCTGTCTGAACCCCGGTATCCGAAGGGGGAACATCCCATTCTAACTATCATACCACCGTCACCCATTTAAAACATATCTTCAACTCAAAATGAAATGATCTACATCATGCAAACTTGCTTTTTGTCCCCATAAGGAAGATAAGTGCCCATGATGTGTCTGTGTTAACACACCTGTCTGACATAATGCATTCCCTTTAGCCCCTTACCCTAACCGTATAACCATCACAACTAATTCCCTAGTCCCAACCCTGATTCTAACCTTAAGAGCAAGGCTTAAAAATAACAGGAAAGACGAGTACAAGTGTGCACACGAGTTTGCACAGCTATCCTTGCCAGAACATTGCAGTGACATTGTAGACAGCCAAACCAAAATCTTATCCCTATCCTAGACTATGACCAACTCATGCCTAACACTGAACTTAACCTAACCACACTTCACATCTTAACCCGGACCTCAGAAAATAAGTCAGGACAGGCCAAAATGGTCCTCACAAAGATGTAAGTGAAAGAATACACAGACTTTGTTGTGGTATGCTTACACTGTCGGAGTCAGACAAACTGACTCCGACGTACTTCATGTTTTTCTACCAAGTAAAATTGGAGAATGAGGCTTGTCTATGGTATGTTACCTGTACTTTAAACCCCCGAGGCAGCTCCATGGATTTCTGTTGCTCTCAGCTTGCAGAGTAGAGGAGTGTCTGCCGGGGTTGATGAGGTCGAATTCTGGTTTTGCAACCTATCATTTTAAGAGTAAAGTGTGAGAACCACTTCTCAGACTGCGTCATTATGATTCATAAACTAGTTTTGTAGGTCAAAATGAGTTCTGCTGTTATTACATGTTGTGTTGTTCTGACTCAAATAAACCAACCTGGTGTGTAACAGGTCTGGACAGAAAAAGACTTAGTTTCTGTCTACAACTCACAAAGAGCCAACGAAACCCTCCTCCTTGTTTCCCACAGTTACAACCAGTGCAGTATAAAACCATTCACTTTAAATATAGTTAAGCAGGTGAAATCTCTTGTATCTGACAAACAGCAACTTTGGAGGGAATATTCATTAAAATGTATGCATTGTTTGGACATTGCACAGATTGAGAATGACCCTTCTCATGGTTCATCTGAAGGATAGAAATCTTTTTAGACAAATGTACCACACAGGAAATGAAAAGAGGGAAAGGAATTAGTTGGACATTAGTTCATTAAAGAGCTCATTACTGCCACTGGAACACTGTATTATGTTGCGGCTTCATAACATTCAGTATTTTCAAAGTGCACATTATCATGATGAACTTTTACTGAAGTCTCATTAAGCCTGAAGGGAAATTACAGATTACAGAGAAAAACTTTGATCGTGTCCTTGATAACCCCAAATACTCTTCCCGGGATGACAGAAATATTTTATATTGTAGATACAAAAACTTTTACCTCATCCTTGAAATTTCAGAAACTCTTCCAGGAATACTACAACATGATTTGGGATCAATAACTAATGTGTTTATTACACATACCAAAACTTTTACCCTCCATTTGTCCTCTACACAAACATTACATTGACTGCTTTAACTGCATATTCTTAGACTGTCTTCCATTTACAACAACTCTAGTATTTTTTTGTGTCAGACTAATTTTGTCCACACTTGTTCATGAACTGTGACTTTATCTATTGTGGATCAAATCACAGGTTCCCCAGGTGTGAAGTGGTTAAATGTATTACAACCCCTCTGGTCTTAAGTGATCATGATTTATTCACCATGTCCTGCAGGTCATTGCCATTGTGATGGATGTGTTCACTGATGTCGACATATTCAAAGAAATTGTTGATGCCTCTGTGCGAGGAGTTGCAGTTTACGTGCTTCTGGATGATTTACATTTGAAATGTTTCCTCACAATGGCAGAAAATCATGATGTAAAAATTCAACAACTCAGGGTGAGTACTGTATGTGATTTAAAACATCCATGTGAGCATCTCTTGATTCTAACGTACATAACATTGAAAATGATATGTTTTTCGAGGTTGTTGCTTTGCTTTGAGGTGTTGTAAGAGAATGTACCCTCAGTTTTTTCTATATGTATATTTTGCATATGACTCTATATCTACATACAAACTGCATGCAAGCCAATGTCCATTCATATTTCACTGTTGTGGAAACAAAGTCTCATTATCAAAATCTGGTTTCTCCTGTTTATTGGGTGGAGTCATGCATACAACCGGTTGCAGCAGAAACCAACAAATGCAACATTCAAACTCTGCAGAATGTTGATTAACAATGCAACGCCTTTCTCAGCTGTTCTTCTGTTTGACTGACATTTATGAGCTTATTTTGTAAACTTCAACAGTGTAAATACAATTCTGACATTTTCCTTTCACTGCTCTGGTGACAGAACGTGAGGGTCCGCACTGTGAAAGGTCAGGATTACCTCTGTCGATCAGGAGCAAGATTTCATGGCGCAATGGAGCAGAAGTTTCTTTTAGTTGACTGCCACACAGCGATTTATGGCTCATACAGGTAAATAAGCATGGCTTCACATCAGAAAAGCTGTTAGGAGTAGTTAACAGCTGCCTTACAAGAAAAAAAGCCTCTATAAAATGGGGCAGCTTTAGTTTTTTCTTTCAGCATAAATGTAAAAATAGACTTTGCAAAAAAAATAAATCACCCAGAACCAGTGTTATTTTTTAAATATATTTTGTATTTTAGTCCCAAATGGATAAAAAATTAAATTAAATTGAATGTTTTTAAACAATGTTTTTTAAATTCAATATATTCACGTTTTTATGTTTGTTTACAGCTTTACTTGGTCATATGAGAAGATTCATCTGAGCATGGTACAGATCATCACAGGCCATCTGGTGAAGTTGTACGATGAGGAGTTTCGAACTCTCTACGCCCGGTCGACTGTGCCAGCTGAGCTTAGCCTCCCGGAGGGCTTGTTTCAACAAAACGGGTCATATGGACGACAGATTTTGCCAGCATCTCATTCTGGACAGAAAATTGAAAGGAGGGACATGCTAAGGCACACGCTGGACACAGTCTATCGGAAGACCTGTGAGAGGAAACTGGGCCTGAGAGACCTTGAGGAGAGGTTCTTAGAAGAGGAACCAAACAACCTGGGGCCATTGATTGAGAATGGGCTCGGTGCACAGAACCAGATGTCCCATTTGCAGTCTTCAGAGGCAATGAACCTCTTGAAAAGGCACAGCTATGCAGGGGAGAGACAAGATGTATATATGCCACAGAACATCGAGCCCAGGGCAAGCCACTGGAATATCTCCAGAGAAACAGGAAATGGAATAAACTATCCCAGGGACAATTATTTACAAGTGCCGCAGATATACAGAGGTCAAAACATTTATAATGACAGTGACAAACACATTCTGTCCATGCAGCAGAATATGCCAACACTGGAGAATACATCAAAGTCGTTCATGCGCACATTGCGGATCGAGTCTTACCTCAAAAACCCTGACGTCCCATTCGGAGACTCTTGTGACTATTTAGACCAGTTTGACGGACAAACGGTCAAAGCTGGTTCTTTCATGCAGGGACGAACCAGGTCTTCCTATGTTTTAAGGCCAACTATACCAGAGCACATGGAGGCAAACAGAGCAGCACCACACACTCCTCTGCACTACACATCTATGCAGTGGAATCCAACTGCAGCCTGTGAGAACAGAATAAATAATGACGAATTCATGATGAAGGGACAAAGTTCGCAGATTTTGGATGACAATCGCAATAATGCAAACTACGGTCCAGGAATGAACTCTTATCAATCTGCTTATGCCAGTTTAGGCCGAGCTAAAGGTGGACATATGATCACAAACCCTGACATCCTGACAGACAGTTGGCAGAAAAGGCATAGCCTGGCAGATCCGAGATCAAACACAGAGTACGCACATGAATCCTCAGGTCACATGTATGCAGCTTTTGCAAGGATGCCCATTAATAGGAGCACAGCAGGGATCAATTCTCAGAATGGTGCATATGTGTCAAATCTGAATGAAGATCAAAGGTCTGTCTCTCAATATGATGTCAAGAATATCACAGGTACAATGGGCCCTGGTACCCCCAAATGGCTGGAACCCCCGTGCAGGACTGTGTCTGCAGCAACTCTGGATGTGAAAAGCAGGGATTTGATGGCTATAGCCAACAGCAAGGGCTCTCAACCTTTACTCCAGAAGAGCTCCAAGAACATAAAATCAATGCTGAATATACCAGAGAAAAAAGAGGATTTAGTCAGGAATGTTGAAACGTTAAGTCTCAATTCAGGTGTAAGCACAGACACTTTAACAGCTGAGGATGAGGTGAAAAAATCTGATGGATATCAAAAAGTCCAAAGAAACACAAGTAGCCCAGTCAGATCCTCCTCAGAGCACCAAAGGAAGTGGCCAAAAGACAGACATCCAAACTCTTTGAAACCTGAGTTGACGACTAAGGAGTACCAACATTCACCGCAGGTCCCGACTCGCCCCGATACAACCAAACAGCAGAAATCCACTGTTCTGGACAGCCTTGATACAGACAGATGGACAAAAAATGGTGGGGCAGACAGTCGCCTGTATAGCAGGTTTGAGCCATTCTGCTCATTGGAAAAGAAACAATCTCCACATGGCTTTGGAAACACACGTTCCCAAGAGAAAACCAAAAGCCTTCCTAAAGCCGACGCAGCTGCCGAACACAGCCTCAACCGGGCTTCACGAGGACACCATGAAAATAAGCTGGGGAAGTTTTTTCATAGGGTGGGAAATCTCATACACAAGAACAAGTACTGACTGATGCATTTGCAGAACACATAATCGTCAATTATGACGAATGGGCACACTGGTAATATTTCTATTTCTATCATCGACTGGATATAAAGATGGACGACATGACAGCTCCCGAACAATGAAGCCAAATCATCGGTGGCTGGCTGCATTTTAGGTCATAAACCCACCTCCTCCATGTTATGAGAGATGAACAAAACTAAAAAGTCTATGTACAGATTAAGTAAAATTTTCTCAAAGATTTTCATTTCAAAGATCATTCTCATTACACTGTTTGTCCAAGTACTCATTTGTCAGATAAGTTTCTTTTTAAGTCTTTATTTGATAAAAACATGATAAAACATTATGATTGACAGCTGTGATTGGTCGAGCTCATGTATTAGCAGGACCTTCACTCTGGCTCCAAATTATGTCAAAAGCCCATGATCTGGGATATCAAAACGTAATTTTTGCACAACAGGAGGAAGTGAAGATGCATTGTCCATTCATAGTCTGTGATTTGTATTTATGCCCTTGATTTCTTTGTTTATTTAGCAAAATACTGTTTACACATCAACCTCTGCTTCTTTTACTTGTGCACTGATGAATACCAGTAAGAGGCGAACAGAGTATATTTTATATGAATACATGCTGTGGACTTATTATAGAACATTATCTCAAAACTCCTCTTTCATGCTATTTATTTTCCACTTGGGTCAATCAAGGTAATGAATTCAAACGCTGTCAAGGGATGCTTCGGATGCATTGACTCATAGCTGTGTGAATGTGTACACTGTGTATATCTGCACAATTTGTCACTGTGGGCATACCGATGTGCTGTTGTGTTTCATTAGAGGATTCTGACCGTTAAGGTTAAACTGTTGCATATGCCTTCAACACAAAATCTAACCAGGGCTCCACATGATGGAAAACATATCTGTACGTCATCACATCCTTGATATTTATGTGTTTGACAGAGGTTTTATGAATGCTATGGGGGTTGCAATAATTTTACAATGTCTAATAAAGTTTTGAACTGTTTATTTTTTCACATGCTTTATTGAAACTTTTAATGACTGGATTTGAAAACATACAGTGGTGACAGGGCCCAGCTGGAAGAAAATGTAAACCAGTCACTGAAGCTTTCCTCTTCAAGAGAAATCAAAGGTTTTGTTTTATGTTGTGAAAATTGTGTCTCACAGTCTAATTTTAACTGTCAACTTAATAAAAGAACTTGAGCATCTGGGGGATTGTTTCAAAAGCTGTTGCCGCTAAGTTACATCCTACAGAAAACATAAAAGACAAAATAATCTATATATTCAAGTTGGTTTGCATCAATAATGGTCGGACTTGGACTTTAACAATAACACATTATGTGCACATAAGCATCGCTGACAGCTCACCATAAGTGAGAAACAATCCAAACAATTCCCCTCATTAAAAACTGAACCAACTACATTTTTGTTTTGGAATGAGGCAAAGTATAAAGCTAAAGACAATCTACAGAGAAAGGTTCAATTAAATACAAATTCATTACAAATAAAAAACTTACATTGATCATTTTTGTTTCCTGAAATGAGCACTCATGCAACAGCAGGTTGGCGAGGATAAATCAGGTCTACAGGCTCGTAAAGACAGCAGTCGACAGAAAAGTTACATCACAGCCGAGGGAGACCACAGTCGTGTTAGTTTGAGATGAGAGAGACCTGCGGTGAGGTAGAGTAGAACCTGGTGCGCCCCTAATAGACTGAACACTTAAAAATGTACTTAATAGATAGCACGCAACAGCTCATCTGATTGAACGGGTGCCTCATGCACAGAAGCTTGAGTTCTCATGCGGCAGCGGTAGATTGAGTTCCAACCATAGACTGTATATAAAGAACAGAGCTGATATCTGATGCTGATAAAATGTTGATGAAAATTATGGGTTATGTTCTGAGTTTCCGTCTGCTATATGACGGCAGGATGTCCGGGAGTCATGTAAATTACACACTTTGCAGTAGAGCTCAACAAAAAGTGAAAAAAAGAAAACCCGAAAGAAAATCTGCAACAAATTGGGAGCAATTTGCTGCTCTCTCTCTCTCTGTTCCGCTCTCTGTGGTGATTACACCAAAGTTAAGAAAAAGAAAATTAGCTGTTATCAGGAGTCACAGCTCCCTTGAGCTTATATAAGCAACGTTTTGACTCAACAAAGATCCTCTTGGCAACTGATTGTACGATTGTACAACACGGAGAGAAACATTTAATCTTTATGTTTTAAAACTTTAGAGTAAAGGTATACTCTAAAGGTCTAAAAGAAGCAAACATCCTCCTTTACCACATGAGTAAAAAGTTCGAAACATATATTGTTCAAATGTGTATGTATATATTGTTGTAATGTGAAAGGAATAATCATATAACTGATTTTACTATTTTGACACCATTGAACTAACGTAGAGTCAAAGGAAGCTGTGTGACAAAAATAATTTTCATGAATCAACACACTGTTGATTTATTTTCACCATTTCCTTTTCTCATTTATTTGAAAGGTTTTTATAGAATATTGTGTATGAAGAAAGAAATATATTTTTAGACCTTTTTTATTTTCTGAGAGAGAAAAACTCTTGTGTATGTAATGTACTTTCATCTAAAGAGGATGGAGATGCATCCACTTGAAAAAACGGTAAGATATAATTTACAGCAGAGCACATTTCCTCAAGTTATCATTATTATTATTTTTTTCTTTCCTATATTATTATGGCATCAATGTATCTCTCTCTCTTGCTCTGTTTTCCACTGTATAATTTTACTTCATCCGGTCCTTTTCTATCCTATGACCCGCCCACCCTATCCATTATGCTTTGTCAAAGACACAGATGGTATCTTCATTACAGTCATCCTTGCAAAAAGCAAGGAGACATCATTTCAGATATTGTAAAAAACATGTTCATATCTTTTTTTGGGGGTAAACATAATCCATCTCCTAAATGTTAAATGTTAACCCTATAAGCAGCTTTCTCATTAAGTTTTTTCCCCCTTAAATACACCTGAACCCATGTTTGGCCAGTTGACCCTCACATAAACTTTTCCCTAAATCAGCAGCTCTATGGGAAAAATATTTGATCGTGAAACATTATTTAACATTGAACTTCACATAAAAACACATTTTATGTATAATTTCTTTACTTGTGGATTTTTATACGAACGTTTCGGAGATGCGCAGCGAAGTTTGTTGCCCAATGACAACAAAAGCATTGTAGTCTATTCTCTTCTGCTTAGTGCAGCCAATGAGCATGTTCCCTTGGTAAATGAATGTCAGAATTACAGCAAGGTAATAACATTATGCACAAGTGATGGCTGTGGAACTTAATTTCCAGGTGCAGAGGACTCCTGCAGCTGAACAATCCCTTCTGTAATCGCAGAGCAGGAATAAATGGAGCAGTCTCAATATTATGTGATGCAATGCAGCCACATCCTCCTCCTCTTCTCTGACAGCTACAGATCCTCTCGCTTTGATGAGGATCTGGAACTCGGTTAAAATATTTGACAGCGGAGTTCTTCGATACACCTGAAGCACATCTTTCATGTGGTCGGTTGATGCTGATTTTGACATTGCTGCGAGCATTTCCAGTGAGCCTCATTGAAATGCAGTGCACTTCCAACAATTGAATTCCACTCTAGGGGTGAATGGATGTTGCCTGATCGCGTTGCTGCTCTCCCCACATTAATGGAAGGGAAGGAAAGAAAAAATAAAACTTCCTCTCTCGCAGTCCCTCTTCAGCTTCACTGTCCCCTGCCCACTATATATGTTTTGGTGAAATGTAGCAGACAGCTGTGTGTGTTTGTATCTTATTTGAGTTGAGGAAGTAGAAATTCACAATACAACCACATTCGAGAATATAAAAAGCAGTTTCTGTTGATTAATAAATACAGAGTGTTCTTCTAAAATAATTTCCTCTGCTCAGATTCTTCCCATCAAACATGAGCACAGATTTGCATCTTTCTGATGGTCTTCCTGACATTTTCGGTTTCTCCCAGACACTTGATCTAATATTTGACATTTTACAGACAGCGTATTTGGAAGACGTCTTAGAAGAAGATATTACAGTTACAGATTTACACAGAGCTAAGTCAGAAAAAATAAATAAAAAAAGCTGCACAAGAAAGAAGCTAAAAGATAAATGAAAAATATCAACATATCACCAAAGATTAAATATCTCCATGCGTGACAATTCTTCTACAAACTAAACTGACATAATAAAAGTTTGAGTGGACGTATAAACTGTGTCATAGCTCATGAGTCTCTGCTCCGTAGCTCTACTTACTGGTAATAGACCAAGATATGTTCTAGAGATGAATAATGGCTGTTCAGAAAATGTTAAACAATACTGTATAACCAAATGTCAAAAATGTGCAAGTAAACATGTTAGCAGCTACATTGCTAAATAACTGCTTCTCCATGAGACAGAACTAGAGTCAGATCATACAGCACGGCTGCATTCTTTAAATGTCACGGCTCCTCAGCTCTGAAACTCTCTGAGGCATATGGAATCAATGACATCTCTTAAATCAATGTCTTTTTTTTCATAAATTATTTTATTAATCTAAGTACACCATTTGTATCTCCTGCATGTGTTGTCTGTTTCATCATTCTATTGTTATTGTTTAGATTTAAAGTTTATTTCTGTATTATTTTATTACATCATCTCATTTACCTTAGTCCTGAAAAGTTTAGTTGCTGTGCCGTTATTATTATTATATGTTATTCTTATTATATGGCAATTGTCACACATACAGAAGATGTATGTTGGATTACAATAGACTGTGCTGTAGATAAATGATATCATATGTAAAGACATACATTTAGGCATCTGTTCCACTGTGGATTATGACTAATGACTAATGGCTGTTGTAATGGCTGCATGGGGAATGAAAGAATGATAATTTGTGTATGATTATATATTATTAGAATGGTTGAGCAGGCACAGGCAGGTTAAACTTTGAGTCAGAGATCAGTAGGTTAAATGCAGTTTTGTGTCAGTGTCTGTAGCGTGATTACAATCAAACATTACATTTTACTTGAAATGTATAATCTCTTGTAATTTCCTGTGTGGGAGGCTTTGTCTCCTCGCTGACAGGCCAGATGAAAAAGATGTGCTCATCGATGCAGTGAATATGTGCCAACAAAGGAGACTTTGGAGATCCGATGAGAATAAAATCAAAAAGGCAAACCACTGCTAAAGCATGATGCTGATCTAATTTCACATCTCACATTTTTTATAAACTTTTTTTGATCCAGACTCAAATCAATACTTTGCTGTTTTTCCTATTTCCACTCTGTCTCAGATTTGATGAGTTTTTCCAACCATGAAAATGGACCGCAGATATTTTATGATTCTTTGTCTTGGCAGATTAAGTCTGAATTGAACGAATTTATAAATTTCATGAAGGCAAATTTAAGTTTTTAGAAAGTTGTTAACAGTTGTTGACGTGCCGTATGGTTTCAGCTTCAAGTTTCATGGATACAGCTTCACATGTGTAGAAGAGCAATTTCTGTAAATAACCTCTGACACATATTATTGAGTGGATCTGTTGCAATCTGTCTGACTGCATCATTGATAATGTTTTAGACGTCAGTCGATTGATGGATTATTTTGCTGTTTAAAAAGTTTTCCAGAGTTTCATGTCCTCACTTCACATGATCTGAATTAGGACATTAATTGCTACTTACTTGTGATTATCCTTTAATCCTTGACTTCATGTGATTTACAAAGAAGATTCCCAAAGGCTGAATATTCAAAGCGATCTCTCAAAGAGCAGATTCTCAGTTTGCTCACAGGTTCTCATTATTTCAAGTGCAACAGCGAAAGCCAAATTAATTAGCTGGACGGCGTCCTGATACGAGGATAAGTATCAGACAGGGATTATGTGTTAAGATTCGTTGGAAGTCAATCATTTGAAAAGCGATATATCATAAAGTGCTCATTTCTGACAGCTTTTCTGTAGAACTTAAGATCGACTACGCCATCAAGCATTACTTTCTCTAACCTTAGTTAAACCTTCTTGTTAAAGCTGCCTTGTTTGCCATGAATACTTCTTGTACGATCAACAATCATAACAACTAAAGATTGTGTCTGAAACCCTGAACAGGGAAGAATAGAAAACCAGCTGATTGTCAACGGTAGTATACGAAAAACGGCTCAGTCCTGTCAATCTCCTTTGTCCACATGAAGATGACGAAGAAAATCAATACAAACAAAGAGAAAAGATTGGATTGGGTCTTACAGAAACTTGGGCGCAGTGTCATGGCAACTGTGTAGACTACTTTTAATACGCTGAAGAAGGCTTTAAATTGACATGTCATGTCTGAGAGCGGTCTCTTCGTTTTTCATGACACAATAATAATGAAGTAGAAAGATGATTTCACAGCAGCGTTGAAAACGATCTTCAGTTATTTCGCTGCCGAACATCTCTGTGAACACGGCGCATTTGTGTCTGTCATCTTTGTTTTGTTCGTTTCGTAATTAATATGTTTGGAGATATTTTCAATGTGAGTAGACTCTTCACTATGGGAGGACAGATCTGCAGGATCACAGTTATATGAGCCTACTCCGCTGACAATGACTCACATATATAAGCAGATATTTGATAGGAAACTCCAGTGACACAAACCTTACAGTTCTGGTGTCCTCTAGCGACTCTAGAGCTTCCACATGTATAAAGATGGATGACATGCCTGTTCCCCAAAAGTGAAGGCAAAGTGTCTTCATCACCTCCTGGTGGCTGCCTGCAGTGTAGGTGATAAATCCTGCCTCCTACTGACTTTTTTTAATGCTGTGAAAACATCTAATGTGGTTTATTTGCAATGATCCATGAGCAACGGGACAATATTCAGACCTAAAGAGTTCCCAACCTTTCAAAATAAAAGCTCTGTAACTCTGCTCGACATAAGGCACAGTAGCATTGCTAAAGAGGAGGTGATTCTATGAATGTTGTTGGCATGATGGAGATCAGCCCACACTTGTGAATGTCTGTGTCAGTCTGATATGGTGAAATAACAATAATTACAATAAAAAGATTATCAAAACGATCTGGCGGGACAATTAAAATCCACTGCAAGCTGAAGGCACTACCCTGCCCCCACTGACTGCTGCAGAACACATCACCTGTTTATTCACTTTTTATCAATACTGAAGGTTTCACGTGTCCATGTTACACAACGCGAAATTTGCGTTCCAAATACAGATAGTTAGTATTAGAAGGTAGATAAAACAAGAGGAAGAATATTTGATGGGTCCAGCTTTTGTGGATGAAATGCATTCAATAAAAGAGACAAAGACTTGAAAATGACATTGTCAGGATCTGAATGAGCATGCGTGCCATTTTAATAACCTTGGCTGAGACAGGAAACTCACATTGCATAAATAATAGGAATGGTCTGATGGGGAAATGAGACACGTCCCACTTTACAATGGAGTAAATGACATCTGGAAAGAGGGAACACCTGCTGTCTCCTACTAATGACATTACCCTCAGACGTATTGAGGGAATTAAATACAGTGTGAAGCATTTAACTAACAATGAGAATAATAAGGACAAATCATATCTCAAGTTGCTTTAAGTTATGAATCACAACTCTGGAGAGACTTCAGCCTATCAACATCTTATTACTAAATAAGGATAAATAGGAAAAACCTGCCATAAAAGATCTTAAAATGGTAAACGATCAACGTAATATAATTAATATTTCTATAAAATATTTAAAATACAATTTTAAACATGATATATGATTGAGAGTTGCATCTGGATGTGAAGGTAAGTCAGACATAGAAAAACCATCACTCCAGCATATAAAACTATGCACGGATGAACAAAAACTCCTTTACCCCTTTGTGAATTGATCCATTTTGACCTCAGTTTTCTCCAATTTGTCTTTCTGCAAGTTTCCACCACTTTAGTCACCAGAGGCCACTTATCTCACTCAAAAACATCATATTTCACTCCAAACTGCTGCATCAACACAACCATACAGATACAGGAGGTGTTGTGCAGACTCATGATACCTGTTATTGCAGCATTAGTGTGCAGCTTGTGACAGTGAATGCACCAAAGAAGAGGGGATCATTAATAATTAATAATTGAGGCTAATGTTTGAACCTTAAATTAATTAAAAGAAAAACTACTCTTGTTATCATTTGTTACACACCACCCTGAAACTATCAACATTTTGTGTCACATTAGCCAATTCATTTTAATTAACTGCACTGCTGTGTTCGCAGCTCATGCAATTTGATCATGCAGGCTGATTAAGTGGTTGAAACGGGCATCTGGTCGTCCTTTGAGAAGCTTGTGTCTGCAAGCGTTCCTCGTGTCGAGGCTCCTCGTGTCGAGGCTCCTCGTGGACTTCTGCACTGAATTTCAAACAGATGAAGACGCTGCAGCTCTATATCAACTTGACTCCATTAATATAAACTATCTGGACTGCCAACATTAAAAATGTATGTAAACGTAGTGTAAATATTGAAATCTTTAAAAAAAAACTTGAACTTGATCCATGAAAAAGAAACTCTAGAGAGAGCTTATGCAGAGATATGAGATGTGATGTTGTTATGTGGGAATACTTTAAAGGGATATTTCACCCAAAAATAAAAATTCACTCATTATCTATTCACCACTATGCTGATGGGGGGGTGGTTGAAGTGTTTGAATCCACAAAATACCTTTAGAGTATCAGGGGTAAACAGCAATGCAGCCAAATCCAACACACTTGAAGTTTATGGTGATCACTAAATTTGACTCAAAACAGCGTCATTTACACCAGGTTTTTAGCCTAAATGTCCGCTCCTCTTCAGGAGCCTTGTTCATGGGTGGATCACAGGACACTTAGACTAAAAACATGGTGAAAATGATGCTGTTTCTAGTCAAATTTGAATAGTGGGGCTTACAGACACTTGGATGACACCACAGATGCAGTATGGAGGAATTTTTGTCTTTCTTCCGTTTGAAGAAATTGGTCACCATTTGCCTTGATTGTTTTGGATTTGGCTGCAATGCTGTTTACTCCTGAAACTCCAAAAGTGTTTTGTGGACTCAAACATTTCACCCATCCCTCCATCAGCATAGTGGTGAGCAGATAATGAGTGGATTTTCATTTTTGGATGAACTATCCCTTTAATGTTTATATCAGCACACAAAACCAAGACATTGAGATTTTCTCCTATACTCCCCCCTGCCTCACCCTGGCTTCTCCCCCATCCCATTGTTATCCACAATTTCTTTTTCCCTTTGAGGGAGGGTGGGTTCCTGAAGTAGCTCACACCTCCTTGCTCGGCACAATCAATTTTGTTTGACCCTGAGGCGGAGACGCAGGAGAATGAGCAGGAGAATGTCGCTGACGAGCTCTGAGGAGTGTGCGGAGTCTATCATCGCGCTTCAGTGTCTCGTCCTCTTTATCGGAAGCTTGTGCGCAGCAACCCGCGGGCACCGCAGACGCACGGAGTAACAGCGGGGTTGGGGTGGGGGGGGGGCATCACGGGAGACGCACCAACACTTTGGGAAGATGTCTGGCTTCGCCGGGAACATGGATTGCGAGGATTGTTTATCTCCTGCACTTGTGGCCAATAACAGCGCGGAGCTGCACCTGCACTCATCCACCGTGGATGAGGACGACGAACTTCTCAGATACATCTGGCGAGAGTACTTACACCCCAAGCAGTACGAGTGGGTTCTCATTGTGGCTTACATTATCGTGTTCTTCGTTTCACTCATTGGAAACTCGCTTGGTAAGTTCTGTCTTTGGTGCATTTCTCTCTCTATCCATGCGCAATCGCTCCTGCGTAAAATGACAGAGCAGAAGCGCACTTTGAATAACTTTTTGATTGACGCAAAGAGCTGACGATCTTTTCCCTCAGTTTCATTCATGTTACCCCCCCTTAATTGTCTTTTATGTTTAAATCATTAATATTAAAGAAAATCACAGACGCAGAGTTTGAGGAAAATGCTGAGAGCAGGAGAAAGTCTCCCCTTAAAAAGAAAGCCCCACCTCAACACCCTACTCATTTCCCATTTGTAATTTGCTCCATCTGGACCTCAGCTCTCAAGACTTTACGTGCAGATGTGCATGCTTCAGCTTATAGAGCCATTCAGTAACATTAAAGTGATACTGCACAATTCATTGTGTTTTAAAAAAAAATGTATATGAAATGATATCACTGCTCTTTGATGAAATACATTAATTCTTTTTTTAAAATCAATCAAATTTATTACGATAAAAAAATCTACCTTTATGGGTTGAACATGGCTCATACCGCCACCTAGAGGTTCAAAATGTCTTGAACCATGCAGGGCCAAGGCTTGTATAGAGTCACACACCATCTGGGACGTCTCTACATCATATTTGAAAAAGTTAACAGCCTCTAATCAAAGATGTGCAACCCCCCCACCACCGGCCACCACTTGTTAGTGAGAATCTGGAAAGCTGTGCTCATTTTCAAATCTATGCTTAAGCTAAATCCCTAAACCACCACATAGTCCACCATTCAGAGATATCCCCTATCCTCTCCTGCTCCTCAGCTGTCTAGGTGGGGACCACCACACTCCTCCAGTGGGGTTTAGCCCCAGATGTCTCAGCATCGGGAGATATTTGTTTTCTTTTGGGGATTTTTCATTTTTCGCATCTGTCGAATGTTAGAAGCGTCATCAACCCCCCCACTTTCTCGAGTTGAATCCAGCGGGGATCGCCTGCTGCGTTCCCACATCGAATTCTCCTGGATTGCTACGGGCATTATACTAGGATAAAGTCTGTGAAGGCTGCGGAGTGTCTCACTGCGTTCACACATGCACCTCCTCTGGTGAAAATATGGAGGATCTGTGGAGTCCAGTGCATGTCTGAAAGCAGCTATAGAGAAATGGAATAACACTTTCCCTTCACAGCCTCACGCAAAACAAAGAGGTGAATTGGGACAGGGATTTAGTCTTCTTGGTCTCTCATTAACAGAATATGTCTTAATGCCAAAATATGCTTAACAACGCATTTTACTAATATCACTGCCCTGCTATGTTCACATGGATAATCCAGGTACAGTGTAGATTTCCAGCAGATGGAATTGACTTTTTTTGCCAGTGAAATTTGCATATGTTTGTCTGACAAAGCCAGGAGATAGAGGGTGAGTGCTGGCATTTGGTTCCATCAAGCAGGCCATGAGTCTCAGCTGGGTGGAGTTTTAGGATTAAGCATGAGAAAAAAAGGATGTTTTTTTGGATTTCGCATTTTGAGAATGAATAAAGTCAGTTCCTCTGGTCCATCAAATCCAGTCGCGACTAACAGCTGTGAGAGTGTTTGATGTAACCATCAATTTCTCTGCATTTGTCCATTAGCATGTGCAGCCAAATGCAGCCACATCTTCCAGGCTCGTGAGGTTTCTGCCTCTGAACAGTCTCCACAACAATCTGCCTCATTCACTAAGATGTGCTCAGCGATGTTCTTACTCTGCACACAAAATAAATGCATTTATGACACTTGCACACCTGCCAATTTTGTTCTTACCACCTTGTGTATGTTTGTGAAATTCTAAATTGACAGGCGCGTGTCCGCTCTTTGCAATTAGCATACGCCTCTATTTCTCCACATAAGGACATCCGTTTGGTGTCTCATGAAGAGAGCAGTGTGCTGCACAGAGAAGTTTAAGTTATAAGAGTTGGCTCCAAAAGGTCAAAAATGTCACACCGGCAGAAACGGAAATAATTGTGTTGGAGGTGGAAGCCACAAAAGACACTTTTCTGTAGCGTGTCCTTCAGAGAGACAGTGTTTAAAAGAATGAAGTCTGGGCTGCATTAACCGAGGCAGGGAATGTCCCCTTGAGGTTCAGACCTTGTCGCAATTAAAAAAAAAACATATTCTCGACATGCATAGGTAAAAAAGAATGTTTCACCTCTGAATGACTTCAACTTTACACTTCAACATTTCGCAACATTTCGCTTTTGTTCTCGGGGGCAAAGTCTCTTGTCATTCTCATTTTTTGTCTTACACTTGGCTCTAACATGCTGACAGATTCTATATGCAGTTGTCACCTTGCATGAAAGGGAGCAAACAGCAACATACAGGGCTTTTAAAATCATCTCATCGTCTCTTTATTTGCACTCAAGCTGTTTGCAGCCACTCTAAGGAAACAGAGAGATGCAAACATTGACTAAGAACCAAGAACACGGTCAAGGTCTGATACATGTTATTGATTACTTCTTATGTTGAATTATTCTATACAAGCACACCACACGAGGCACTGATGCCATTAATGATTTTCCTCAATGGGACTCCCACGTCAACAGGACACCCGGTGTTGACTGTGTACAGGAATTAATGAAGCTTGTAATGAAGCATTTTATATATAACATCGATTTTTCCTTACAGATCAAAGAACTATGACACCTAATTATGCAAATAGATTGGAGGGTCATTATTAACTTGAGTGTGTTGTTAACTCTGCAATCAATAATTTTCTCTCTAACGTGTTCCTTTGGTGGATGTGTATACAAAAAATGTTCCTCCTCTGCTTTGACAGCGAACATGAACTCATTAGCTTTCAACATTTACAATGAAAACGACAATTTTAAGATGAATTCTCTTGATCTTTTGAATTAAACCGAGCTTGAGATACTTTGGTGAAAATTGATCTTTATAGAAATTTGACATGGTAACATCTTTTATCTGACCAATCTAAAAAGAATGTCTTCGCTGGTATAATGAAGTTTATAATCTCAACTCACTCAGAGATATTCAGAGAAAGAGGCTACGCAGGAAGTTGGATTCAAAATGTTCCTAAAAATGTTGATCAGAATCAATTTAACTGTAAACCTGCAAATAACAAAGTTTTCACTGGAAGTTGGAAAACATTGTGAGAATACATGTGTAAATAGAAAACCAGTTTACAGTTAGAGCACAGCCACAATCAGAAAACATAACTCATTATTTCTCTTCTGTTCCTGATGGAAATTATAGGTGCACACAGTTCACATAACTGTAACTCTGAATGCTTTTTTCCCTCAAGCTTAGTCTAGTTAACTGCTCACAACTGGTCATTATATGCAATCATAAAAACGTTATATATGTGATTAAATGCCAGAGAGATTTCGCCCACATTGGAATGACCCAACCCTGTGAAAAGCTGGCCTCTAAGGAACGAACACAGGAGCATTATAGAGATATTTGCAAAAGTAGGGTTTGGAACTCTGTGGATCTCTTTCAATGGTACATTATTCTGATTCAGTCACTGCATCTCCCAGTATTCATTGTGAGAATGTGATTATGTTCATGAAAAGTTTCCGCTCATTGTTGGCAGACAACACTGAGAATTCACATTATGCAATTAAATAATTAATTCTAATTAATTTAAGAAGAGTCACGTGTTTTATATGTGAAATTGGTGTAACGGAGGTTATTTTGTAGAAAAGTGAAAATTGGTTTAAACAAAGTGTAGGAACTCTTCTTAGCTGGTTGATTGGAGAAGTCGAGTAGAATTTGCAGTAGGTGATAGAGATGTACGAATATATTAGACATCTCATACTGACAGAACAAACAAGACATGTAAATTTCACTGACTCTACCACCAGAATATATTTGATTCAGATTGCTCACTATCACCTGGTCAACAGAGCAGCTGTTAACTCAACTAATACTTCACTGAATCTATCCCTCCTGTCTCACTGTGGTAGTGCAGTGGTAAGCACTGTCCCCTCTCAGGGTCTGTGTGAGTTTTCTCCAGGAGCTCCATCTTCTTCCCACAGTGCAAAGAGGTGTGAATTGGAGTTGTTTGTCTCTGTATATTGGCCATACGACCCGTTGGTGTACCCTGCATTTCTCTCAATGTCTGCAGGGATTGGCTCGAGCCCCAGCAACTCTCAAAGGATAAAGCAGTGAAGGTAACGGATGGAAAATGGAAATTATCAATGATGAATGCAGCAGACCACACTGAACTTATCACAGTGGATATAGAGCACAATTCATATGCAAACATTTTACTTATTTCCCTGCTTTATAGGATGGGTTGGACATATAATTAATGTCACAGAGGTGGTTGTTTTGTTCCCTCAGAGTTGCCAGTGGTGCTTTCATACATCTGACAGCAGCATTATTAACACAGCCATAGAGATCTGTTTGAAGATCAACCCACTAATCATATAAGAGCAGCTCTCATACTATTGGATAATTTAACAAACAGATGACAACTTAAAGATCCAGTGGAAACAAAACAACATGCTGTTCTGGTTGGATTGTGATTGTGGCTGCCTGGTTTTTTTTCAAATTTGCTCGCCTTTGTCCTGCTGACATGAGATTCCAATGAGAAGTCAGCTGCGACATGATCTTACATTAAGAGTGTGACAGGCCTGGAAATTTGATGGAACAATATCTGACAGAAGTCTTCACTGGATTTTGTCAAATAAATAAAAGGTTTGGCTTGAGAGAGTCAGTCAAAGTCAGACTAAAATGTGCTTGAGTTGTTGATGCAGCAGCTGTAAAACAAAGTTGGGTCCTGCACAGTCTCCACTCTGCTTGTCCTGGATCTGATGTGAAATAACCAATTTCCGCAGTGGATGGACATGAACGGGTGCTGAGGCCAGACTCAAAATTGAGAGGTCAACAATAGGCAAGACAAAGACTTGTCAGTGAAGATCTTTTATTCCCAGTGTCTTAGTCCTGTTACTTGGAGTTTTTGGAGGATATTGGGGACATTGCAGGCAGAAAAGATTAAGATTTATAAAGCTGGGAGTGGGGGTGAAGCTAAAATAC